CCTTAACGATAGTTCCTATGAAGAATATTTCAGAAGGTCATGGACCACTTTTCAAATCCCACTAACTAGTCTATTTCTCGCTTTATCCAAGTCAGCTTGGAGAATAAATGAAACTAACGATTCATGAAAGCGATGCTTAGGTAACCATGATCACCACTTAATATGATGACTATTGAGGTTTCACAGTAACTTATAAGGCCTGTAGCCTCCCTACAACAGAGTTAAAACAACCATAAGTTCGGTGATTTACTGCTGGCCTCCCGAGTTCCATTTGTATCCACTTTTTAAGGGACTGAAGATAGCCCATCTCACAGCAAAACCATATCTCCGTCAAACAAAAATATGAATATCTGTTTAAAAACCAATACTTGCATCCCTTTTTGCACTTAAAACATTATATTGTTTACTCACCTTAAGTATGTATTATTGGTGAAATTTTGTAATCTGAGTCGATTCATTTTTATAAGAATTAATATAGTATGTTTGTACATACTACTAAATATGATTGAAACGTATCATCTACATTTTAATTTTATGAAAATCGATTCTATATTCCAATTTTCAATGCTCATAATATACAGTTTTATTTCTAAAAATCGGAACTCATAAAATGTTTCAATCACTTCCTGTATAGTGTTATAATAAAATGTTAGTCATTTGTTATCACCAAGGGTTAGTTTTTTTAAAAAAATGATACTACTACACTTTCATAACGTTTTTTTAGTTTTTAAAATAGGATTTCTAGGCAACTATTTACTATTTGATTCATGTGATTGATCATTATTGTTTTTATATTTAATAGAGAATGTGAATAAATGGAACAACTATGCTACTAGGTTTCACATATTTTTGTCTCATTCTTATTTATTTTAACGAGAAAACCTACAATCTCCTAAAGATCTATGCTCCGCTGATGTCGATTTCATTGGTTAGTCATCATCTTTTGGATTAATCAACTTTAGCTTAATTTTGTGATTTATTTTCAGTAATCTATAGTTTAGCGTTAATAATATGCAATATAACAATATAATTTTGTCAAGTGACTTACTTACATTACTTCTTTAGACCTTTTGTCAAATATCAATTTCCATTTAATTGTTTAACTAGCTCTCTTCAATGTTCCGATGACTTATATGATAGGATATATATATTTGTATTTTATCGTTTAAATTCATCAACTATGTCTTATGATCGTTTGTTACACATAGGAAACTGGTATATAGTATGAGCCTTCATTCACAAGCATCAGGATATCAGTACAATGACTTAAATGGTGTAGACTAATCAGTATAGTTTGGCTTTCCATTATCTCAACTCTTTGATAGAAATTACATGTAATTTGAAGTTTTAAAAAATAGGTGGGCTATATGAATAAAACGATCAGACATAGTAATATTCTGTTCTAGGTAGTTACTATATGTTAAGCAAATCAGACATAAATGTTTTTCTCTACAACCATGTAACTGTGAAATGTTACGCTTTAACTAATAGTAATAATAATGCCCTAACCGATTATACTTCTTCAATAGATTACTGTTTTTTAAATCAGAAAAATATTTGATTAGTAGATTAATAAATTCACTTATCAGAACGGGTCATAAATGTTTATCGGTTAAAACTTAAACGACTTGATTATAGTGAGACGAAGTTAATTAAACAAATAGTAGTAGTAGTAGTAGTAGTAGTAGTAGTAGTAGTATTGAAAGTAAGTTTAATCAAAAGTTAATAAATGATTATAGAGTACAATGCTATGGTAAATTGATAATTAAAACTTAATCTTAATTATTTCTAATTAGACCTCAATAAATTCCTAGATTGTGCTTAATTAGAAAAAAAAGTTTCTTATTAAATTATCATGTCGTCTCTTAATGAGAAATTCATCATCATCAACCAACTCAATTCACTTAGCTTCTATAAAATTGAGCAAAGTAAATCACTAGAAATCTTAAGAAGTTCCTATTTAACAAGATGTATTATCATTTTTATCGATAAGAATATGTATTTCCATGTAGGTGTATTTTCAACATCATCATAATAATAATAATGTGAAAAATGTCGTCAATAACTCATAGAATATCATATGACAGTGACTATGAATCTAATAGAAATGTATAAGAATAATCCATTACTGCATTTCTTTTTGTTTCCAAACTTATTGTTGTTGAAAATATCTTTATTAATTTTACAAACACAAGACAACATCAAAGAAACTGGTATTAAAAAGGGAGGGAGACTATGTCAGAAAAAGACAGATTTATCATTCACTCTCAATCTAGGATATTATATGGATGGGTGGAACACATTAAGGAACAGTTCCAATGACCTCTAGCAACTTTCCAGTTTCGCTTTTTCCCGATCAACTTGAATTGCCGATTGACACAAGTTCACCAACTTCTAATGATGTTGGAAAGGTTATGGGTAATATAAAACATGAGAGAACACCAGGTTCTGGTCACTTAAATCCAGACAAAGGTGAAAAATTAATCTATAAGGTATTCAAACTTCATCGATCGAGGTGTTTAAGGCATGTATTACGTATGCCTAGCCACTACGTATTTCGATGAGCGGCCAAACAAAAACGTAGCAACAATCCATGAAGTTATTGACCGTTGGTCTGAGGCACATAAGTAGATGTAGTGTACCTGGTTAGGGTCCACGTGATAACCACGATTAGTAGTTGGAGAATTCGAGCTAAATGACTTGAATCATTCTCAGTGGCCTAGATGCATTCAGTTTTTATCTACTTATCAAGATTGAGTCCCGATAACCCTTTACACAAACTTTTCCACTTTGCCTATTTACATCATTTTCTCAGAGTATGGTTGACACTACACTAATTGGACTTCTTTTTTTATTACCACTTCGTCGTGTCAATCGGTTATATTAACTTTGACCAACGAGCACCTGTGGTAGGCTTTTTGTTGACTATGTTTGTCTGTCTTACATATCGTTTGCATTCTATGTCAATTTTAGTTTAGGATTAATAAATAGCCGGTAAATTCCTTTTGACCATATATAATTTTAAGAATAAATTGATAGTAGACGAACGTAAAAATGAACATACTCTAACTTTAGTCTACTAAACTGATCTTATTCTTTGAACTTTTTAATCCAAATAATACCTATTATAATGAATAATACAATTCAATAACCCAGTGCTAGGGATTTAGCACCTTCCCGTGTCATAGTTCAAGTTAATACTAATTAACTTGAATTTAATAAATATCATTAAAATATCTTCTTTTTAATAGTCACATATTACTAATTAACTGGATGCTATGTAAAAATTTTTAGTCATCTGTTTGGCGCAGTCTACATGTCGTTCAGTTATATTGTCATTAAAATAATAAAGTCGGTTGAAATTGTAACTCATGAAACAGTTAAACACAGAAATTTGTTAGCCCATAGGTTTATCATGAATACACCACATAACTAAGTCTTATCAACCACTTGGTATATTTAAAATAAATGACTTGATGTATAACAAATTATATTTATTTGTTATAGAATATATATATATATATATATATATATATATGATGCAATAGGGCATCAACGAAACTCCATAGAAACTATTGTTTTTTGAAAGTATCGTCATCTGGTGGTATAATAGGAATGAAAAAATTAAAGGTCTAGAATAACAAAAATTATAATATTGTGTGAACTGATCGAGTATTTATAAGTAGGCTCTTATATTCTCTTGTTGACTTTTTATTATAACAATCATCTGCTCATTGGTTTACACGTAGTGACCTTATAAATAGCACAAATATTAATTGGTAAATAGGTAAGTACATAAACTTTGTTCACCTAGATTTGTTTCATAAAGTCTGTATCGGATTTGTTAAAGCGACTAGTCAAATTGATTTTTGAGTAGAGAAACATATTATGTAGACAGCAGTTTAAAATAAAAGAAACAATAAAAATGTACAAAAAAGTATTTTCACAGGTGAAGTATCGTTGTCATACTTCAGTTTGATTGTTGTTCAAAAATTAAGGAAATACTGATCTGAATGAAATTGACAAGAGTGAGTAATTATAACTCATTAGGGAAATAAGGGTTTGTATTCTAGGTTAGGAGAAACACTTTTTTTGTCAACGTTGGATACACTAACTTGATAGGTATCATTACCAAGTTTTGATTTGATAATTTTGAATAAATTGAGCATTGGGTAGATTGTTATAAATAAATTAATATATTTGTAATATCCCAATGAGTAGAAAAATTAGGTTGAACAGAAGACTCAACGGTGTGAAATGTAATGTTCTGAAGGTTTGTTAAGCAATGTCAAGGAATTAGACAATCTTTGGTAAAATTGACACTCCATACTGCTTTCTCTTTATGACGTAATATGGATAAAATAACCGACAATATGTATTTCTGCATATTACTAGCGTTATCAAAGATAAGTCAGTCAAACTCCCTGTTGGGGGTGTTAGACTCCCAGAACTCACTTGGTAAATGACTTATTTTTGTAATTTTATTTTGAAAATTTGAATTTCTTTGTTTTCGCACCAAAAGCGCTCTTTTCACCTTCGAATCGTATTGCCCACTTGGAAATATCTTAAACGTTATTGGTCCGTTGTATCTTTTAGTGTGCTATTTTATAATGCTTCCCAAGGACAATTTTATGCTGTATATATAAACGTTTGATTTCTTCCTGTTTCAACTGCTTGTGCTTCGGGCTGTTTACGGAATATATCTTCCTCACTTCCAACTTGGACTTCTCACTCTCGTTAGCTGGGTCTGGACGCGTCAGAATAGCTAGCTTTTCGGTTTCTAGTCACAAGTCTTTGTTCCGTTAGCTGGCTAAGTGAATTCGAAGCAGCTTCAGACATAACACTCCCTTACTTCTTACCCAGTCTGAAACCAACCTAAACAATATTAAAAACCATATCCATAAAATTTCTATTGTATATCATAGATACTTTCCTTTCATTTTGTCTTCAAATTTCGAATACTTATTCATTACTCTCCAATCATTATTTTTCATTTTCAGACTTATAATGATATGATTAGCTTGGAAGAAAAGATTAAAATTACTTCCGAAGAAAATATCGGTTTAAAATCTTACATTGAACGTATGAATAATGAATGCATGGAACTCAATGCTACTTTGTTTGAAGAAGCAAACAGAATGGTAAGTGAAAAAATGGATATATATTGTAATTTTTTCGATGGTCATCTGGTTGAAATAGAAAAGTATTCCAGTCAAATAGGAGCCCAAGTATGGAGCAATATTAAATTTATAATGATATTTCCTATTGTAATTTTTTTTATAGATTGTCAATTTTAACGACACATTTTAGTCTCCATCACATAGTTTACTAGATTGATTCATTCAGTCTGTGATTTACACAACGAAATTCATTCCATTTATCCTAACACGCACAAACACACTACTATACTCGACAAACATCATAAATTGTCTTGTTTGTTATTACTATTATTTCTATGTATGGAAAATTAACCAAAATTATCCATGAATCAATACCAATGATAACAATCCAGTTTAAATGAGTGGTCCCAAATATATATACGTTAACACGTATCATATTCTTGATGTAAACAGTGGCGATAAATGAATAAAATGATTACGTACTTTGATCTTCAGCTTAGATTTCAACTTAAACGATAACGATTAGAACGTTAATTATGCTAAGAAAATAAGTATGTAAATATAAACAAAATGACTGAAAATGGTGAAGTCCAACTGCATTATGAACTAACTGGTAAAGTTGATGACTAAGTATTCTTTCACAATTGAATTACGAAATTTATTTCAAAAGCTGTGTAAATACGGAGATTTTTACCCATATATTGTGCTTCGTGTAAAAAACAAGTTCAGATTTCGTTAGAACAACATATGGATATAAACATTGGTCTTAAATGATTCAGATTCGCAAATCTCATTTCTATAATCTACCAGGTGTGGCAAAATAGACTTACGATCTATTCGATCCTTTATGAATCATAAAATAGAGTGCTCAACGACATTTGGACTAAATTCCTTAGTGGTATTATGTTTTTCAGCTTAAACCACTAACAATCAGAATACTGACGTGATTACTGTATTTGGCACCCAGTCGATTTCCTACTCCAATTTTCACGTATCCATACCTCCTACGAGCAAGTCAGAAAGCCTTTTGAATTGTCATAAGTACCTTTTCTACATTGATTTATAATATGTGCAAAATATAAGACTACAAGGCATCGTAAATAGTAAATCTCACTAGGAGATTTTTGACATAAAAGTGGACAATACAATTATACCTAATAGACTGAGAATTAAAGACAGGAACAGACATTGAATCAAAAAATACCCTACAATATAAACCTGACCATATAAAAGTGCCGTAAATCAACTGCTGTGTTTAAAACTCACTGAATATACGCGAACTGATTCGTTGGAGAATAACTTACCAAATGTTTTGTTCTCTTTTTCTTGTCTCTTCATAACATGTAGTACCGATAATTAGTTTGCAAGATAGTAGAAAAAATTACAAGTCATAAACAGATGATAACTTGTTTTCGGCCTGGGAAGTTATGCTCCATTGACTGACAAACGATAAATAAACGAAATAATCCAACTGCTATAAATGATAATAATAAGTAGTAACTATAAGTTTAATCACACTTATTAACAGGTAGTTGTTACGATTATTATGACTTATTTTTTAGTATATCTCATATGGCATCTAACAAGCCAATACACCACATTTTTTAGTGAGCAAGACACGAGCAGTAGTATATACCACCTGTGTTTTCGTTGCTCGTTGACATTTTAGAACTCACACGTGACGGATCAGGAAAGTAACTGTGGAAACATTTGCTTTTAATTCGAATGGTTATTCCAATTTGCCATTTTATCAATTCAAAACTAATTATTCATTTACTCTATTTATCAATAGGTCCATGAAGCCTTATCTAAAGAACAGTATGCCGTTAGACAAGCCAAAGAGAAAATTCAAGAAAATGAGGTAATCTTATTCATTATATAGTTGGGTTTGGATTTATTATGTGTAAATCTTGTAGAAAATTAAAATAATTGGTTAGTAAGAATAAAATATTGCAATACCATGTAGTCGTTAATACTGACTGACTCATATCTATCCATGAAAATAAAAAGTCATCGTCACTAACAGAAATGATATGATGTCATGATTTTACATTACCATGAAGTTATGGTCCAGTGATCTAGAAAATCAACGCTAAGTTACCGTGTTGTAATTTTTAGCCTCTCTGAACCTGTTTTCGCTGAAGTGAACAGGAAATGTCTTTTCCACTAAAATTCCTGTACAATTACTTGCTATTGACGGAACACAATTATTGGTGTTTGCCGGTCGGAGGAATTCATGCAATTTCCGTCCTGCTATAAAAACATCATTAGGAACTAGTCGTTTACAGTGAAATAGTTTGTAATTCTAGAAGTGTTAAGCTTCAGGGATACGGAATAATCAGCAAACTGCATAGGACATTATAAAATAAGCCAAATATGTCTTTAAAAACAGACATTCAGTTGATAGATCTGAATGAAATTTGAAATTGATACGGTATTTTTGGTAAATGAAATAAGATAAATAAAAAAATTAAGTACTCTGAATTATGAATTATTTTGATAAATATGGTTCCATTCTAGCCTGTTTGCAGTCAAAATAAGGCTTGAATTCATCACACAATTCATCACTTCTCAGAATGGTATTCTGTCATCATAATGAAACCAGCTGTTAATAGAATTTGAACTTCCTGAAATTTATTTTTATAACCATAGTGATTATGATATTGATGTGTTAATGTTGTCTCCATATAAATAACTTGATCATCGTTTAACAAGAAATGACGGTTTTAGCTCTACAGCTTATTAGGATTTTGTGGTCTAGTATCTGACTCCAATTTGGTCGTACGAAGATGCTACGAACACAAATCTTCTATTTGATTCCGTATATCACCTAGGTTAATCCCGTTTGTGTGACGGCGGTGATAAGAAGCTAAATACGGGTTACATTGGAAAGATTTACTTCAAGCATTCGTTTACCCAGACAGACATTCAAAATGAGGAACGGAGAAGGCAAGCGGGCCAAACCAATTTGATCAAATGTGACTCGGTATTTATAGTCTGACCAGAAATAAGTTACAGACATGTAATGAGTAGTATTTGCAATAAAGACCCATACGCTCATATAAAAACAGTCAAGGTTAGTAAATGAATAGTTGCCAAGGTCAAAATGTAACTTATAAAGATGAACAAATCAGTCTGTCCGGAAGTTAGAATAACCAATATTGGCTTGACATGGAACCAGACACGACAAGAAAACCATATAGTGCTTGAAATAGTTGTTATTTTGTTTGAGTTGCGGTGACAACAATATTTTTAACATATAAAAGTACATTAAGTTGATGATTTCAAAGTAGAATAAGACGTATACTTTCGTTTTTAGTGTTACTGATACCAAATTAACGTGAAAATACAATTAAAAGTAATAACGATGACATATATATATGAGAGGTTACTATTAAGTGTCAACACTTAATCATTTTCGTTTGACGAAGCAAACTTTAAAAGATAAACAGGAAAATATAAGTTTGATTTTCTTTGAATATCATATGATAAAAAGAGGTTTCATCACCGACGACAGATTACTCATTTATTTATTTAGATCATAAAGTTAAATGGCTTTAGTTTTCATTGACAATGTTTAAAATGATGCCTCATATATTTTATGGTAAATGTTTTGTATGAAAAACATTTCAACGTATCATAACCAATTGAACTCTAAAACCATGTCGATACCATGTCGATATCAATATATACTTGAGCATAAGCTTGATATTGTACTATTGTTTAAACAAATGAAATGGGTCTCCTACATTGTAATAATGGTTTGTTCTGTTTTTGTATTTTTTAATTACTTCATATCTCCACATCATATTGATGCTTTTATTTCGTTTTGAAAATAATTTCAATTATAGATACTTCAATCGGAAGTTCGCGCATTAAAATTACTGGTTGCTGAATTATCGTCAAGCATAACAAATCAAAAGATTAAAAACTCATTAAATAGTACAAGGTTAGTTTCATATTTTCATTCTATATATATATATATATATATATATATATATATATCAAAAATTTCCGACCTAATTTTTTTATACTATTTTATACTTGTACATTATGGTATTTGGCATCAACAAGAAGTATCCACAAAGTAAAAGAAATTTTTATGGTGAGACAATAATTTATGGACAACCTTTGTGCGACGCGAAAGTGACCTTGAGAATACCCACCTACTAACTGGGACGGGGGGTTATAAACCAGTGCAAGAAATTAGAACGGTGATTTACACTTGATGGTTAGGGTTAGGAAATAGATTGAACGCGGTTGCCAAAATGCTATTTAGCCAAATGGATGAATGAATTTTGCGGAAATATCCAAGACCTGTTGTCCTGCGTCTGATTAGTTCTTTCATAAATTACAGTCTCGCCACCTTTATTTCATAAACTAAAACCTGTATCTCTCTCAACATACCACTGTTAGAGATAAAGTCTTTCTAGTTACCCTATTTTATGCAATCGGTAAGATGATCTTTCTTTTTAAGAAGAAAATAAGTAGATATTTATCATGGTAATCAATTAAATAAGTTTATCTATGAAAAAAGAAACGACAATAATAAGCGTAGTTGTCAAATGTATTTTATAAACAACGTACTGTTCTAATATCGTATGATATCTTTACTAGTTCAATATTCAAATACGTTTATTCTGTCAATTGAGCGTAAATATAACTTTGTGTTTTGTTTTGATTTATCACACAAAATTGTGACATTCTTTCTGTATTCGTGACTATGATGCAAATCGTACTATATATATATATATATATATATATATATATATATATATATATATATATATATATATATAAACTAAATTATAACTTCTTTGTGTCTGTAAGCCAAATACTTATAAATTTACCACAGTATCTTCATTGAAGATATTACTTTTTTGCAATTTTCATTATGAAGGTCAACACATTTCCACATCCGATTGTCTTCATTCTTTTTTACAAACCTTAAGAAACAATATTTCTCATCACTTAGTATTGTTTGTTTGGATCTTCCCATCGATGTGTTTAGGACTGCAACTGGTCAGTCTCTAATTGGCATATGTGCATACTGTGCGTATTGCCTCGATATACCTTAATTCACAAGCATGGTAAGCAGAGATGGATAGTGGCTAGCAGTGCAATCCAGGACGCGCGTTTCGTCCTATTTGGGACTCGTCAGCTGGATGTACCTGCATCTCAGAGTTGATGTTCACTCTGTGACTCGAACCCACAGTATGCACAGTATGCACATATGCCAATTAGAGACTGACCAGTTGCAGTCCTAAACACATCGATTGGAAGATCCAAACAAACAATACTAAGTGAATTGGAACTTCACCCCATCGCACAAGCAAGTGGCTATCAGGACTCAGTGGGCGAGTGGATAACGCGATGGCGTTTGAAGCGAGGGTACTGGGTTCGAGTCCCAGAGTGAACATCAACTCTGAGATGCAGGTACATCCATCTGACGAGTCCCAAATAGGACGAAACGCGCGTCCTGGATTCCACTGCTAGCCACTATCCATCTCTGCTTACCATAATATTTCTCATCGCCATTACTGATTGAAATTAGCCTATAAAAATTAACTGACTTGTAGCAATTTTTCATTTGACAGTTACAAGAAGAAAAAATCTTTTTTTTTGGTGAAAATAATATTGTTGACGATAAAAAAAGCCAAAACATAATATATGTAAATATGAAACATCTTACTGAGCAGATTTTATTTGTATGCTGTTCTAGCCACAGGGAGGCAACTTGAAGAACTGTCATTTGAATTCCACATCAGTCTAATTATTTATCAATTTGTCATGAACTCCCTCACCAAATTCTCTTTTCATCTTTTTATGAATGTCTAAATGAGAGTTTTTGCTCTAGCTGAAAAACTGTTGGAAATCGAAGCAGATTATGTAACTGTTTCATCCTATTCCTAGCCTCCCCATCAGTTCTCACTGATGATCTCACGTAAAATTGAACCAATTGCCTTTATGATTCGCAATGAACAGTATTTACTTAGACGTCTGACCTAAAGCCAATGGTTCACATTCGTAGCTTCAGTCAATCTGTGGTATAGCATTATCCTCCACTCACGTTATCTCTATATATTTATCCCATACGGAGTTTGATTGTTTTTACTCTTTGCGAAGCTCTGTTAAAATGTTCGAAGGCTCATCTGAAAGACAGTCACTGGTGAGCATTGTATTAATAATTACCAAATGTGTTTTGTAAGGGGTTATTGATATTTTAAAATCAATTTTCACCGTGTACTGATGATCATCTTATGTGAGAATAGAGTGGTACTACAACTTAACGTAAATTAGGGATCTGTACTGTTGGGTTTCCCTCATCGTTCGAGGTGTAACATATCACAAATCTTGAAAATGAGTTACTTGATGCATTTTATATGGAGCCGTGGGTACGGACTGATGAAAAATCGATTCGACTGTTTGTGGTTATTATTTTAAGTGTTAAGTGTATACATCGATTTACTCTCAGTATAAACATGTGATAACGCAGAAAATAATGAGAATAAACGAAATTTAGAAGTATGAATCATTGGATCTCAAATCAGTGATCAAAAAATAACACAATTCCCAAAAAGACTGAAAGTTTAATACTTAGTGGCATGCTGGATTTGTATTATTGAAGCGTTCCACAAACTTATTTTACTAATAATTATCCGGTTATCTTAACACTTCAAATATGCATATAATTATATTTAGCTAAAATTTATTTTTCCCGATACCTATCAGTAGGTACGAAAGTAGTGTTCATACAATAACTGTCAAAGTAATTTTCGTTCATTAAATTATTTGAAGCTAGGCTATTTATTATGTATCAATTAAAGTTATCATATCACAACTAAAATTCACTTGATATTGTTTGTTTGAATCTTCCCATTGATGTTTAGGACTGCATTTGATCAGTCTTTCTCTTATTGACATATATGACTCACATGCTTATGGCCTCGATATAGCCTTAATTCACATGCATTGTAAGCAAAGATGGACAGTGTCTAGTAGAGAAGTCATGGAAGCGCGCGTTTCGTCCTATTTGGGACTCGTCAGCTTGATGTACCTGCATACTAGAGTTCATGTTCACTCCGGGACTAGAACACAGTCCTGGATTCCACTGTTGGCCACTATCCATCTTTGCTTACAAAGCTTGTGAATTAAGACTATATCGAGGCAATACTCACAGTATGCACATATGCCAATAAGAGAGAGACTGATCAATTGCAGTCCTAAATATCAATGGGAAGATCAAACAAACAATACTAAGTGAATTGGAACTTCACCCCATTGCACAAGCAAGAGGCTATCAGGACTCAGTAGCCGAGTGGATAACGTGATAGCGTTTGAAACGAAAAGTACTGGGTTCGAGTCCCAGAGTGAACATCAACTCTGTGGTCCAGTTACATCCATCTGACGAGTCCCAAATAGGACGAGACGCGCGTCCTGGATTCCACTGCTAACCACTATCCATCTTTGCTCATCACAACTAAAATGTTTTAAAAAAACTAATCATAAGAAATATGATACCTATGTTAATAGATTCTATAGTTCTAACACAAATATTGTTAAATGGATAGAATTATAACACTAAAAGTACACATTCTTAATGTTGTCGAAATACAGAACTGAATGTCTAGATTGTTTGATATAAATTTATAAGTATGTACTCAAAAATTTTATTAGATATTATCATAATTTAGATTAGATTATTTCATGTTAAAAATATTTTTCCCTTAGAGTATGGTTACATGTTGTTATAGCTATGGATAAATATGTGTCTTATGGATCATTGTCAACAAATTTCTCATCTCGTATATAAATCAATAATGAGATCAATAGTATTATTACTACTGTTAGTATTAGTAGTGATATTATTATTATTATGGTAATGAGTACTTAGTACAAAAGACTGAAAAGTTTGAAAATAATTGCAAGTACATAGGCAGGTATGTTTGTTTAACAATCTTTGGAACATAGAATAAAGTACATAATTGGAAAAAATAAATCTGATAAACATCCATCATTAGTAACATTTGTGGTTAGAGTTGTTGGTAATATTAGCACACCCTACTATTGGTACTATTCCACTCGTTTTAATATCATTTTGTTAAGTATTTAGGTTCAGAATCTCTATAACTAAAACGAGGAACGAAACATTAGCTCATAGTGCAAATCGATGAAGTAGTCTAGCAGTATAAAATATTATGGTGATTATGATGATTATAGAAAGACAGGTGAATAAATAATTATGATAGTTTATATTATGGATTGATCTCAGGTAGAAGAATAGGAAGGCTTAGACAGCCATTTCGTCCTAGTGAGAGCCTGCTCAACTGGGCTCATTTACAACCCAGTAGGAATCATATTTAATGGATAAGCCCTTCAAAATTAGTAGTAGTTTTCTGGTTATGAAAACTGTTTGCGCACTGCTGAGGAGTCTCACGATATGAAGAAACGGACGTCCAGTGCTTCCAGGTTTTCCATGGTGGTCTAGCTTTAAATGACTCATGAACTCAACTATTAAAATTATCCATAAAAGACAATAAAATTGAATAGTAACCTCTCACTTGTGTCAACTACAGTGAACTAATATTGCTTGGGGAATTATCGTTTGATGTGACACAATTGATTAGTAATGTACAAAGTTAGTGGGCGGAATAAAACACGAACTATATATTCTGGTTAGTTATTAGCTAAGCTTAGTGGAAACAGAACTCAGTAAAACTGGGTTGTGACTGGTGTTGGAATGCAGAACATGAGTTTCATCCTGTTTTAAACTTGTCAGCAGGATACAACTTACTTCCTACCACTTGAACAAGTCAGTGTCCAGCTAGACTCTGTAGCTCAGTGAATAGCTGGTTACGGTTTGAAGTAAGAGGTGCTGGCTTCGAGTAGCAGTTTGAATATCAACACTGGGATTCTGTCCAGTAGGCATCCAGACACACAACAATCAGTCAACATATCGATCACTCGGATATTAACATGATTCAATAATAAGAATAATATTGTTAAAACATATGTATCAGATGAGACAAATGTACTAGTTTACAGAAAGGGAAGAGCGAAACTATGAAATGATAAAAAAGTAGTAAAAAGGACAGATATGGAAAAATTATGTTCGGTTATAAAATTGTTCATAGGTCACATGATTAGTGAGATGTTAGTTTTCAATAGATTACAAACGCATTACCAGCAGTGATAATAATGGTTATATTTAGGATACGATTGAATATATACAGACATTAAGAAATTGCATGTGTAGCATCTTATTTAAAACAAATAAGATTGTTATGCACATATACATAGAGTTTAAGAGCATACTCCAGTGGCACGATATCTGACACCAGTCAGATCGTATGATGATTGTTATCAAAATATACGTGCCGCCAATCCTTGTATATTTTTGTCGACATAATTCGCTTTAGAGAATAAAGGAATAAAACAAGTCAAATATGAGGATGAATTTTGAATACGTATATTTCGTACACTCATTGATCTGAGCAAACAATCAGGGAGACGTAGTGAAGGAAGTGAAAAGGAGAGAGAGAAGCGAAATGAAATTACGCTCAATGAAAAAGGCAAGTGAGCCAACTCGATTTAACAAGGTGTGATTCACTCTTTATAGTCAGACCAAAAATAAGTGACAAACACGTAATGAGTAGGACAAGCAATTAGCACACATGTACTTGAATAAAAACAGTCGACGTTAATAAGCGAATAAGTGAGAAGGCCAAAGTGTGATGTGATAAGAATGAATAAATCAGTTTGTTTAGAAGCTAGAATAAGCCGTGTGGGCTTAGCATAGTACTGGACTCTACAACACCATGAAGGGGATGCGATCCAGTAAATGAGAGATTGTCATATTGATAGGTCTCGATTTATGGTTGAACTAGAGGGAATTGAATGAATTAGAACGTCTTTTTCCGAATGAGCAAGTAACAAATATTTTAGATGAAACCCAGTGGTCAGCTTGAAATATAGGGTGGGAACCACACAACTTGAGGAATTCAAAAATTATCATTCCACCAGCGTTATTTACAGCGACCTGTATTTATAGACTGCTAGGAAAATATCTTTAGTATGATATGCTTCTATTGATGTTAATTTGCAATAAAGCACTTTCTGTAAGGACTTGTCAACTTTGAGAAAATGATACTTAGACCTAAACCATACAAAGCTTCTCCAAAACATCAAACAGAATGCACTAAAATATGGTAATCATTAAATGAATTACATTTTAATTTTGGACAACTTAGAGTCCCAGTGTAGTAGATCTAACTAAATTAAGCAGAAAGTCAGTCATCAAGGAAATTTTTTGTCGGTGATATTAAAGTAGAATTGTGGAGATGGAATCTCAGGATTAATAGATAAACTTCGTAAGTATGTTGAAACAACGGATTAATGTCTACTTGCTTTTAAAAAGATTTAACTGTATGGCATCAAAATACAATCAAAATATTATTTGTGAGTAAAATAAGTCATAAACATCAACATGACCAGTAACATCATCTCGCAAAATACTTTCCAAATATGTTTGAGCTATGCAGCATTTTGGTTACAAAAATACATCATCGAAAAATATCGAACCTAAGATTAAATCTGCTAGATACTTTATTCTATAATCAATTATTTTATCTAGAACGATGTAGTTGGTTCCATACTGTATTAGATTGAAATTACGCTTTTGAACACAAAGTGAATACATCCACGCAAACGTCTACTTCTTTGAAGGGGAGTGTAGTAGGACACTCATGTCACGATCAGAAATATCATTATATTTCTAATAATTATTTTGTGCCTGCTTATATAACTATCTTATAACATTGAATTTATGAACTGCACATGACTTATGACTGATTGATTGTTATGTCAATCCACACACACGCCATACAATTTAATTGTTACATTATTATTACATGTTTCTTGCAATCTCTATAATTTATATATGTGGCCTAACTGGTCAACATCTGAAAAATATCTATCCCTAAAACATTTCCTGTCAAACTTTTGATATTGAGTTGTCAAATGCACTTGATTATACAACGCGATTGGTCTAGAAAGTGTACAGAATTGTCAGGGAATTAGAACTAACTGAATTCAGAATGCATTACAGTATGTAACACAATACAAGGCAAATGACTAATATAAAAAAAATTTAGGTTGTAACAGGACAGAAACCAACAGTTTTAAAAGATTACTGATGAAAATTTTCCACAAGAAGAAAGCTCATGAACAAATGGTTTTTATTTATATTATTATTTAAACACCTAAATATTGGTACAAGGAAGCATCAGATAAATATGCGCCTCACAAATGCCATTTGATTTGTGTGAGGGCTGTGATACTGCCCTGGTGCCCGAACTGAAGCAGGTGGTTTTCTTAGGGGTCACACCCCGAGCCTTTGACCTAAAGGTCTAGTCCACAAGGCAGTGGAGCATCGTGAGAAGATGCAGTCCAGTGGTAGCCGGTGACCAACAACAGGTTCATACACCATTTGTTCCCTCAGGATACTGGAGTCCATGTACACCATTGGTTTGAAATCAGGGTTTTCCAACTCCCCTAGGTGGACTCGCCTTGTCCACCAACCCGGTTGAAGTGCCGGACATTCGCTTTTCGTCCTCTCAATTTTGCAAACAACAGCCCTGCCACGAGAAGGCAGTGAGTAGGACTTCCCTGACAGAGGCTATGTATACGCGTGGCCATGTGAGAGCATTTGGAGAGGGAGAGCGTACTCTCCCTACTCTCGGCCGTACCAGGGCATTTATGGGCATGAACAAATGGTACGAAATCTTAATTAGATTTAGGGTGCATTTCACTGTGAAAACCAACACATCAACATAAATTTTCAATTTATATTTTATTTCATAGTACAGTTAGTTTGATCATTTTTTTGCTTTTTTGACAAACAGGATGAAATACGACAATATAGCCTGTAATAAATCCCCTGAAATTTATCGTAAATTGGCTACAAGTAATCTTTTCGAAGTGAAACGAAATAATGCTAAGTATGGTGGATTGGAACAATTCAATCGACGTGATCTATTAACAGCAGTGATTACACACAGACCATGTAAAAATAATTTAGATATTGATACATTTGAAGTAGGTGGATGATTTCTTCATTTATTAATACCTACTTTGTCTTACGAGTATTTATTCTCAAGTTCGGTTATAAGTTTTACAATAAATTTTGATAGTTTATTGGTTTAACTTCATTGAAATATATGCTAAAATTCTAGTGTTTTTTTTACTTTTTGACGTTTGATTGACTAATCAATCCCAACTTTATTATTAAACTTTAATGAGAGTTCTAGTGATTTTTTTAAATTTGGAATATTCATTATTGACAATTTAAAATTCTTATCGGAAGGGGGTTTTGTGGAGATTTAGTATTTTCATAGTTGAAAGCGTGAGTCAATTGAAGCTAGACCACCGGGGGAAACCTTGAAGCACTGGACGGCCGTTTCGTCCTATTGTGGGACACTTAGTGACTGGCCTCGAGAGGTAAATCCAGGAGTTCTAATGAGAAGCAGTGACCAGTGGAGTTCAAACCACGTTTGTCGGGAGATAGGAACTCACTGAAGACAATCGGTGAACTGTTGCTCAACCTCGTGGATTGGTTGTAGTTAGACATAAACATCATCGGATGCCGACTCAGTGGTCTATCGGTTAAGTGCTCTGGTGCGAGACTATTAGGTCAGAAGGGGAGTTTGTGGAGATTTCAGTAACCTTATATAGTTGAAATCACGAGTCTCGCGAGGCGAGGTCGTCGATGTGCACCGCTGAGGAGTCCCAATATAGGACAAAATGGCCGTCCAGTGCTTCCAGGTTTTCTCTGGTGGTCTAGCTTCAATTGACTCCCTCTTTCAACTATGAAAATTTAGAATTCATTCATACGATGAACGTTGATCTACAAATAATGTTGAAATGTTTCATAAATCGGTTGATGGTTCTTTTGAATGTTTATAATTCACTTTGTTTAAATTGCTTAGTAATCCCAAAGTCAAACATGTATCTACTGCTTTTTGTATTTTTGTGATTGTCTACATTATAATCAATAATGAAACTAAATTTAACTGTCTCACACCGGACACATTGAACTCCATTGGTTATGGCTTCTCACTAGAACTCCAGAAATTCCATCTTGAAGCCAATTATTAGTGGGCACATGATTATTATTAATGAGGAGAGTTCTATTGAGAAGCCGTGATCGATTTAGTCCAGTCCGTGCCGAATGGAGACCGGTTATCCACTTCAGAAAATGGATGAAGGGTTGCGCAACATGATGGATAGATTGAAGTTAGACATAAACATCATCGGATGCCGTCACAGTGATGTAGAGATTAAGTGTTCATGCGCAAGACCGAACGTCTTGTGTTTGGTTCACATGTGTGGGATTATGGGTGCGCACTGCTGAGGAGTCCCATACTAGGAAGAAATCGCCGTCCAGAGCTTCCATGTTTTCAATGTTGGTCTAGCTTATATCGACTCATGAGTTAAACCGTTCAAAATATTATGTTATGAATATCGTTGATATTTGTCATTAGTTCGTATATGTTACCATTTTGAAATGAATGAGTAGTTTGCAAAATGCGGAAGTGAATTCATTATTATTTGGTAATTTGAATAATAATAAAACATTTTTTAGACATTCTGCAATGCAAACTTACATCACTTACAGAACTGATTCATAAAAGTACTGAATAATTTCTTTGTCTGATGTTCTAATCCCATGGTGAATTACTACTATGAGTTCTTAAAACAAGATGAAAACATTTGTTATAACCAACAAAGGTTTGATAAGTAGCCGTTAAAAGAATATTTCAACGCATTCAAAACTCAAGTGAAGTAGTAGTAGTTAATTATTCAGTCAAATACATTTCATGATGGCTTTCTACTGATACACCATGATAAACAATTATATAAATTGGTATATAATTCCCATTTAAACATTAAAATTAATTATATAAATGCACTTATCTCTCTCAATAATTACTGGTAGATTGCATTGCTAAAATACTTATTTTTTTTAGATAAAAATCGTTCCTTAAATGCTGATCACCAATTAACCAATATATATTCATTATACGAGTAGTGACATCCTCTGGATTACATTATGGATAAGAGAATTATTCTTGAAGAAATAAAGATATTACATTTTGACAAACATTAGTCTAAAGCAATTAGTCCCTTTGATAAATTTCGATAATGTAATAAGAAGACGAAGATTATCAGAACTATGTGATGAAATATTAACGCAATACATTTCGAACAATCTAATCGGATTTTGTGGTGTTGTATAAAAGTGTAAAAGGACGTGTACTAAGGTTTATTGAAGCCTTAGCCATACGAAAATTCGAACCCCATTTGTGTATTCAAAAACAGTTTGTTCTCACCTTAAACCTACCCTGGTAATATTAGCTTATTATCTAGAGTGATTAGGTGTCAAATTGTTTTCACATTATTTTATCATTATTATCCTTGTCTCCCCTTACCTTCCTCTCACCGTTTCTAGTCTAGTTGACCTTTTATTTTTATAAATAAATGTTCTTAACAAGTATATAATGTATGATCAAATTGTTCGAAATGTATTGCGTTAATATATCACATAGTTCTGATAATCTTCGTCTTCTTATTACATTATCGAAACATTAGTCTCTCATGTCATCTCCTATGTATTAAGATTTCTATATTTGATCAAGAATCAATATGTACTGTCATAAAGCATAATATAAAGTTGTAATATTTATATCATGCTTATATTGTAAAACTAGACTACATTTTGATTATATACTAAAACATATGTATTCATTGTATTTGTTTTCAAACTGTAACTAATCCATCCAAATCATCACCTTAAAATTTTCTAGATTAATCACGTATAACAAGTGACTTATCGCAATTGTGAATAATAATCAATCAGTTGTAATACACATGATTTGACTACTTAGTGATAAACTAGTTTCTGGTAATAAAATATCAATAACTAACTTTACAAATTAATAGTGGTCATGGATTTCAGTTAGCATGAGTTTAAATAAAACAGAGCAACTAATCAAAATATTTTGCACAATAAAAACAAGTATCGTACCATTTAGGTCAAAGGTGAGATAATCTATTTGGATGAATGAAAGATATCTGATGTTTGTTATGCGAAACAGTAAGACTTATTTGTATCTGCTACTAATGCTGTAAAATTTGAATAGATTAAATATGGTTGTTTAGACAACTGGTGCAATTTGTAAGAATAGTAAAGCCTTCCATTTTGTCCAACGCATCATAATTTAGAAATATGTGGAAAAAGTCAGACACTTGCCTATCAATATAGTTTCAAGAATCTTGAACTGCACATTTATTGTCTCCTAAGAAGACGTCAGGTAATCCAGTTTTCTGTTAATATATACTAGTCATTTTCTGTAAAGATAACCGAGATAACTTTTCTTCCAATCTATACATTCATATTAACTTTGCCTGTTTGGTTAATTTTTAACACTAAATTTACTAGTTAAATTACATACATTATGGTCATGTTTTGTCGCTATATTTCATTTTACTTCAAAATGGGCTTATTGAACATCAAACTTTTCACGGACACCTGTTTTTGGTCTGTTTCATCATATTGTAGGTACTTGTTTAAGTGTTTTGTTAGTTAATTGGCCGGTTTGTTGAGTTCATGTAGATCGAATTTTTAATCACAAATATCCCACTCACTAGTCGGAATTACTCTACGTACTAGTAAAACGCAATTCTTCAAAAGTCAATACCAGAAAAATTATCCTTTCTTTCTATAATAATGTAATGTTTATCATGCATAGTAATTATTACTTCAGCATATATTGGCATTTGCTGTATTTTCTTTGTTTCATAGGAATTTCTAGAATGGATACAAAATGATTGTCCATTAAATTTACCTATGATAGCATTTACAGAATTGAATGAACAATTATTATGTCACCAAGATAACACAAAAGAAGGAGAAGAAAAAGAACATAGTAAAAAAGAATTCAGTGAACTAATGACCAAGATCAATATACCCAGTCAAATATTAGACAAAACAGTTATTAATAATCAGACAGACGAAAATACTACTACTACTAATAATAATAATGAGAAGAATAATCATTTAACTTTTTCCAATAGTTTTGGTGTACACAATGATATTGTGAATGATATTGAAAAGATTTCAAGTAGTAACAACAACTATGATAACCATGGTAAAAGCAAAGAGTCTAATCGTTCTAATCATATAATCAAAACAATTGCTATTACATTAAAAAATTCCACTGAATCAAACAATGATTACACTGTTAAGGAAATTTCAAATGATTCAGTGAACAATCATAATGATTCACAAATTAAAACAACAACTGACGACAAATATTCTTCACCAATAGTCATAAATTGTGATAAAACAAATTCGTCATTCAATTCAAATCATATTCCATTGGATAAATCTCTATCAAAATTTATATATCGTTTATATTTGCAAGATATTAAACCTTGTTTTCAATTTATTGACAGAAAACTTATCTCTTCAATTTATCAAGCATTACCGGAATTAGGTTTAGAGATTACACCAATTACTCCAGAATTAGGCGGTGGTTTACGCCGGAATAATGATGTAAATGGCGGTGATAAAACAGTAAAAGTTAGTCGTGAATACTGCTCATTAATGCCAAAATATGAAGCTGCGTTTCGTATGAAAATCAGAGTAAGTTTAATTGTTAGGAGATCATTTTCTTAGTGATCTACAATCCTAATTCATTTAAAGATTCATCAAATTATTAGAAGTGTCATGTTTCATCATTTGAAACAAATCATAACATATGCCACTGTATGTTTGGCTGCAGTCACATGATAACATACATGACCTAGGTCACACATTCTATGATAGCTATCAAGAAGAAATATCTCAAATGTAAAAACCACATTTTTACCGACGGAGACTCTACTAAAACACTCAGATGTCTGGTCATAGATCAGTTACATTATTGATTTGAGATTCACTTCAAATTATAAAAACATTGTGACCTAAAATTGAAAAAACAAACTTACACTTACACTTGCTTTGTTAGTAAAATAACTAGAATTGAAAACGAATAGATGATAAGAAGCTAATTCTTAATAGAAACAATAATTATTAATTATAGAAAATGTGAAACTTTGGTCAAAGTTTATGGTAATTGATTATTAATTATTAGCAGGAATTATATGAAAACATGTGGGCTTTCGAAATAACTCTTAGCAAATATCAATCAGGTTATCTTTTCTTTCGTGTTATCACAAACTTCCTCCTCTTCCTCCTCATAGTAGACGTTCTGTACAAGTTTTTTCTGTGTTACTTTGGAATTGGAGAACATATATGTTATATCTTGTGGCCTGTGTGCCCTGTTAACGTATAACATGATAATACCGCCAAAGATTATATTACATTTCCCCACCATTTTCTTCATTCTCTTATATAGTTGTTCAACATTTCCTTCTCTTACAGCTTTTCACACTATCGTTGCTTGGTCTTTTACTTATTTCTGCTTGTCAGCTCTAATGCTACTCTTCACACGCTTGTTTGCCTTTGTGTATTCAGCTTGTGATTTGACTTTCTCTGTTCTTGTCCGACGATTGCTAATTACTGTCTTCTTTTTCTTCTTTCCTTGAATCATGTGTAGGGTTTCAATAGAGATCCATTCCTTATGATGATGCTTCTTGAGGTTTAGCACCTCCCTACACGTTAAAGCTAGTGCCTATTTGATCCCTTCGCATTTATTTTCCATATTAGTTTTCTCTTTGAGTAGATCTTGCAAGGCTTGGAATCTGTTACTGAGAGATATCTTGAATTCGTTAAGTTTGTCAGTACCTCGGAGAAAGGCAGAATCCAACCATTGTAATGTTGTCTTTCAGTTGTCCAGTGCTTCTTTAGCTTCAGTATCATGCCAACCACCAGGTGGTGATCTGAACCTATGTCAACTTCCTTATCCGTTCTCACGTCTGCCATTATTCTGAAATTCTTGGCGATATTTATTTATAATATGATCCGGTGAGACCTATGTAGATTCGTAAATGGGTTTGCGGGTGATTTTAATGCCACCTATAACATTTGTGTTGAATGCATATGAATTTTCAAATCTCTTACCATTCTCTTTCTTTTCTTCCATTCCATGTCGTCCCACGATTTCTTCATATCCGATGTTGTCCATTCAGACTTTGGCGTTTAGGTCTCCCATCTGGATGGTCAGGTTCTTTGCTGAGCACTTCTCCATGATTGACTTCAGCCTCTCATAAAACTGATCTTTATCGTTTTAATTGCTATCATTGGTGGGTGAATAACATCCGATAGCATTCATTGTGATTCCCTCCTACTTTGTTTTCAAGGATGTTTTGACGATTGTGAATCCACAAGATCCCCATGCTTTCTTATACATTATTAGAGCAACTCCTTGTGTGCAAAGCAGTTTCTTCTTCATGACCGAAGTACAACAACATCTCTCCTATTCCGTCCATTTTAGATACGATGGGTTGTATCTAATCATTTCCATTGCTATTTGACTGGTCGTTCCGGTCTCCCACACTATCAGGACATTGAGTGTACCTACATTAATTATTCCTGTGGTTATCATAATCTTCGGTTTCACCATGAGGTGTCATGATTCTTCTTAATGAAGATCCTTCATAAGTTTTTTATCTGGTTAGCGTTTGTTTAGCAAGGTTGTTTTCTACTGAATGGGGCTGATGAGCCCATGTCCAACCTTCATCCTTTGTCTTGGACCGCCAGCAACCGTAAAAGGGCTATAGGTTAAGTTTCTAGTGGTCATACGGATCAAAATTTTTATTCGTACTTCGAACATACCACATTAATTAAAAATCTATCTCGTTGAATGCTGAAATAAGTTCGTTATGAAAACTACTTAATTAGAACAACTTGAATGCTTATTTTAGAAATCCTTTTTGTAGTAGGTTGGCTATGCAATAGTAATAATACTAATTTACGGATAAGTTATTGTTTACCTTTAAAACGCTTATATATGACACTTAAATTGATTTCAAAATACTACAGAAGGGTTTTTCTAACTACAAAGAAAGAAGAGTAGCTGAAGCTTTCCATATAATGCTTAATCCCACAGCTCTCAATAGAAAGGAAGGCCTTACCATACAGCCTACTTGGACCATCTATCCTAGTCACTCAGTCTGATATTATTTACAATTTCACACCATTACATTACAAATCAAACTCTATCCTTTGTAATTATAAAGGTCACACAGTTTTCATTATTAACAGTGCATACATACACACAAAAAAAATTTACATCCATGTCGCTTATGAATCACCTTGACCGAAATGAAATGACGTGACAGTGATTTACTCAGACCTGTTTTTGATTGATCACCTAATATTCTTTGATTGTTCTGTTGTACTATTTAAACTTGGATTAATATTAATTTGGTTATTTATTCTCTAAAGAAGTGGCTTACACTGAGTCATGAAACGTCAGAAAATCTAATTTTTCTACTCATTGGGATATTACAAATATATAATTTATTCATAACAATCTACCCAATGCTCAATTTATTCAAAATTATCAAGTCAAGTCTTGGTAATGATACCTATAATGACACTTAATTGTTTTCTTTTTCTTATTCCTTCATTAGACACCTGATTCCAATGAAATCGATTGTAAAATATCATTGCCAGCAAGAGATAGACTCGTTGCAATCGTCAATTTATTTCAATACTTAAGTATAATAAAACGTGGTTTAGATTCTAGTCCGATGGTTAATGTTAATAGAAAGAACAATTGTAATAATTATGACAATAATGGAACAGAAACTATTACAAAGGAAGTTGAGATACAAGAACAACAATTACGTACAATCCAACGGCATCGTTTAAATATTGCACTAGCTCGACTTGGATATGGAGCACCAGATTTAGAGTGACTGCAATTGATTGTATTATTATTATTATTATTATGATTGATTCCTTTTTTGAATTACTGATAAATGTATGAATTCATTTTGTAGACATCTGGTTGAGTTTACGTTCTACTTGTTTTTCTATTACATTTACATTCCTTTTGTGACTAATTCACTACCATTTACAATAATTTTTTTCTTCCTTCTAAGAGACTTTCTATCACCTTTTTCATACCGTTGATTTCCACGAAAAAAACAAATACACATCAAGATCATTTGGAATCGTTGAACAACATGTACATAAAGGAATAGCTGTCTAATTCTTTTAATCATAAAATATGTTCCGAAGTATTAAGATCCATTCAACTGAACGATTCAATGGAGATGTAGAGACAAACAATTTTTTAAAATGACGCTTTACACATGTAAATAATTATAAATATACACGCCTTTTATTCGTTTGCATTGTTTTATCGAAAGCATATACATGTATTAAATTATATCTGGAAAAATTGAAACCTATCATAATGTAATCGAACCATTCCAAGTTTTGTTCCTGATTAGATTGTTCATCATAATCTTATTTTCACATATGACTTTATTTGATTTTCTTTTATTATATTCTATTATGATTTTTAAAATATTCATTTGTATGATTTTTGGCAAATGTACACATTTACTTTGTTATGAAACAAGTATTAAATGAATTAAAAAATTCATTTTGACCAAACCAAATTTTTGTTTTACAATTCAACAGTACTAGTATTAGGTCAGTATAATAAAGTAGAGTCGATAAAAACAGGACACCCTTAATTATTTATTACCTAACTTTTTTATTCAGAGATGTAATTCGGTACAAAAAATATATGTCTAATACACAGTATGATGCATCACACATTTTGTTGCGAAGCTGTTTCTTCTTCATGACCGAAGTACAACAGCATCTCTCCTATTCCGTCCAGTTTAGGTACAATGGGTTCCACGTATTGCGAAATCCGCCAACTTGTATCTCCTCATTTCCATTGCTATTTGACTGGTCGTTCCGGTCTCCCACACTATCAGGACATTGTGTGTACCTACACTAATTGTTCCCGTGGTTATCATAATCTTCGGTTTCACCATGAGGTGTCATGATTCTTCTAAATGAATATCCTTCAACTCGGAGTGCATAGTTTATGTTGTTTTTCTGGTTAGCGTTTGTTTAGCAAGGTTGTTTTCTACTGGATTGGGGCTGATGAGCCCATGTCCAACTTTCGTCCTTTGTCTTGGACCGCCAGTAACCCTGAAAGGGTTATAGGTGGGGTTTCTAGTGGTCATACGGATCAAAATTTTTATTCGTACTTCAAACATACCACATATGTGTATTAATTTATATCTGGAAAAATTGAAACCTATCATAATGTAATCGAACCATTCCAAGTTTTGTTCCTGATTAGATTGTTCATCATAATCTTATTTTCACATATGACTTTATTTGATTTTCTTTTATTATATTCTATTATGATTTTTAAAATATTCATTTGTATGATTTTTGGCAAATGTACACATTTACTTTGTTATGAAACAAGTATTAAATGAATTAAAAAATTCATTTTGACCAAACCAAATTTTTGTTTTACAATTCAACAGTACTAGTATTAGGTCAGTATAATAAAGTAGAGTCGATAAAAACAGGACACCCTTAATTATTTATTACCTAACTTTTTTATTCAGAGATGTAATTCGGTACAAAAAATATATGTCTAATACACAGTATGATGCATCACACATTTTGTTGCGAAGCTGTTTCTTCTTCATGACCGAAGTACAACAGCATCTCTCCTATTCCGTCCAGTTTAGGTACAATGGGTTCCACGTATTGCGAAATCCGCCAACTTGTATCTCCTCATTTCCATTGCTATTTGACTGGTCGTTCCGGTCTCCCACACTATCAGGACATTGTGTGTACCTACACTAATTGTTCCCGTGGTTATCATAATCTTCGGTTTCACCATGAGGTGTCATGATTCTTCTAAATGAATATCCTTCAACTCGGAGTGCATAGTTTATGTTGTTTTTCTGGTTAGCGTTTGTTTAGCAAGGTTGTTTTCTACTGGATTGGGGCTGATGAGCCCATGTCCAACTTTCGTCCTTTGTCTTGGACCGCCAGTAACCCTGAAAGGGTTATAGGTGGGGTTTCTAGTGGTCATACGGATCAAAATTTTTATTCGTACTTCAAACATACCACATATGTGTATTAATTTATATCTGGAAAAATTGAAACCTATCATAATGTAATCGAACCATTCCAAGTTTTGTTCCTGATTAGATTGTTCATCATAATCTTATTTTCACATATGACTTTATTTGATTTTCTTTTATTATATTCTATTATGATTTTTAAAATATTCATTTGTATGATTTTTGGCAAATGTACACATTTACTTTGTTATGAAACAAGTATTAAATGAATTAAAAAATTCATTTTGACCAAACCAAATTTTTGTTTTACAATTCAACAGTACTAGTATTAGGTCAGTATAATAAAGTAGAGTCGATAAAAACAGGACACCCTTAATTATTTATTACCTAACTTTTTTATTCAGAGATGTAATTCGGTACAAAAAATATATGTCTAATACACAGTATGATGCATCACACATTTTGTTGCGAAGCTGTTTCTTCTTCATGACCGAAGTACAACAGCATCTCTCCTATTCCGTCCAGTTTAGGTACAATGGGTTCCACGTATTGCGAAATCCGCCAACTTGTATCTCCTCATTTCCATTGCTATTTGACTGGTCGTTCCGGTCTCCCACACTATCAGGACATTGTGTGTACCTACACTAATTGTTCCCGTGGTTATCATAATCTTCGGTTTCACCATGAGGTGTCATGATTCTTCTAAATGAATATCCTTCAACTCGGAGTGCATAGTTTATGTTGTTTTTCTGGTTAGCGTTTGTTTAGCAAGGTTGTTTTCTACTGGATTGGGGCTGATGAGCCCATGTCCAACTTTCGTCCTTTGTCTTGGACCGCCAGTAACCCTGAAAGGGTTATAGGTGGGGTTTCTAGTGGTCATACGGATCAAAATTTTTATTCGTACTTCAAACATACCACATATGTGTATTAATTTATATCTGGAAAAATTGAAACCTATCATAATGTAATCGAACCATTCCAAGTTTTGTTCCTGATTAGATTGTTCATCATAATCTTATTTTCACATATGACTTTATTTGATTTTCTTTTATTATATTCTATTATGATTTTTAAAATATTCATTTGTATGATTTTTGGCAAATGTACACATTTACTTTGTTATGAAACAAGTATTAAATGAATTAAAAAATTCATTTTGACCAAACCAAATTTTTGTTTTACAATTCAACAGTACTAGTATTAGGTCAGTATAATAAAGTAGAGTCGATAAAAACAGGACACCCTTAATTATTTATTACCTAACTTTTTTATTCAGAGATGTAATTCGGTACAAAAAATATATGTCTAATACACAGTATGATGCATCACACATTTTGTTGCGAAGCTGTTTCTTCTTCATGACCGAAGTACAACAGCATCTCTCCTATTCCGTCCAGTTTAGGTACAATGGGTTCCACGTATTGCGAAATCCGCCAACTTGTATCTCCTCATTTCCATTGCTATTTGACTGGTCGTTCCGGTCTCCCACACTATCAGGACATTGTGTGTACCTACACTAATTGTTCCCGTGGTTATCATAATCTTCGGTTTCACCATGAGGTGTCATGATTCTTCTAAATGAATATCCTTCAACTCGGAGTGCATAGTTTATGTTGTTTTTCTGGTTAGCGTTTGTTTAGCAAGGTTGTTTTCTACTGGATTGGGGCTGATGAGCCCATGTCCAACTTTCGTTCTTTGTCTTGGACCGCCAGTAACCCTGAAAGGGTTATAGGTGGGGTTTCTAGTGGTCATACGGATCAAAATTTTTATTCGTACTTCAAACATACCACATATGTGTATTAATTTATATCTGGAAAAATTGAAACCTATCATAATGTAATCGAACCATTCCAAGTTTTGTTCCTGATTAGATTGTTCATCATAATCTTATTTTCACATATGACTTTATTTGATTTTCTTTTATTATATTCTATTATGATTTTTAAAATATTCATTTGTATGATTTTTGGCAAATGTACACATTTACTTTGTTATGAAACAAGCATTAAATGAATTAAAAAATTCATTTTGACCAAACCAAATTTTTGTTTTACAATTCAACAGTACTAGTATTAGGTCAGTATAATAAAGTAGAGTCGATAAAAACAGGACACCCTTAATTATTTATTACCTAACTTTTTTATTCAGAGATGTAATTCGGTACAAAAAATATATGTCTAATACACAGTATGATGCATCACACATTTTGTTGCGAAGCTGTTTCTTCTTCATGACCGAAGTACAACAGCATCTCTCCTATTCCGTCCAGTTTAGGTACAATGGGTTCCACGTATTGCGAAATCCGCCAACTTGTATCTCCTCATTTCCATTGCTATTTGACTGGTCGTTCCGGTCTCCCACACTATCAGGACATTGTGTGTACCTACACTAATTGTTCCCGTGGTTATCATAATCTTCGGTTTCACCATGAGGTGTCATGATTCTTCTAAATGAATATCCTTCAACTCGGAGTGCATAGTTTATGTTGTTTTTCTGGTTAGCGTTTGTTTAGCAAGGTTGTTTTCTACTGGATTGGGGCTGATGAGCCCATGTCCAACTTTCGTCCTTTGTCTTGGACCGCCAGTAACCCTGAAAGGGTTATAGGTGGGGTTTCTAGTGGTCATACGGATCAAAATTTTTATTCGTACTTCAAACATACCACATATGTGTATTAATTTATATCTGGAAAAATTGAAACCTATCATAATGTAATCGAACCATTCCAAGTTTTGTTCCTGATTAGATTGTTCATCATAATCTTATTTTCACATATGACTTTATTTGATTTTCTTTTATTATATTCTATTATGATTTTTAAAATATTCATTTGTATGATTTTTGGC